AAAACCAGCCACAATTACTGAAGAAATTAAAGGCAGACAATGCCAGTAGAACAATCAGTGCTAAAAATTCCTCCACACATGCCAAGGGAAGCTCTTCCTTATGAGTTTCTGAGAAGTTGCTCCAAGACCCCGGAAGCATGCGACAGGAAGTCACACTCAAATGGATGTCTTCACCTTCTGTTATTGCTGTAGCCTCCTTTCAATCCCTTCAGCATCCTACTGAAATGGCCTTTATGAACAGGAGTTTGGGAGTGGACGAACAATACCATCAAATGTCTAATGCAATAGTTGAAATCCTTCAGTTGAAGGACTCTCACCTTCTGAATCCGCAGATCCCTCCATGTCCCTGTATCTTCCAAAAGCAGTTTCACACATGTGCTGGTTTCAAGTCTGTCATTACCAGATTGTGTCTTTTTAAATAAATGTTTTCACTATTGTCACAGGTTTAAGGCAAATAGAGTTTTTTAGCCCAAGTAGAGATAAAAATGACTTTCCATTAATAAATGATTGATACATGCTCTCTGACTTAACTCTTTGTGTCTAATTATCAGAGAATATAAATTCCCTTCTAATGTTTCCTATCTTGTAAAAATCTAACAAATCAAAACATTTTACATACATCTATCTCAAATCTCTATTTTTAGCACTTGTTTTCATTTTTAAAGGTTTGGGTCATATAAGTTGTATTTGCACAATAACATCTTTATACTATGCATAGAGGCATTAAAAAGAACTCATTTCTGAAAGATAAATATAATAGTAAATATATTTCCAATCTTAGAACTGGACACTAATGTCAGCATGGATTCAAAAGAAAATTAAAGTCAGAAAGTTGTGATTATTTCACCTAAGCTGAAATTGACTTGTTCATGACATGAAAATAGTCTTTAAAATATAAAGGAGGGAAAGTTTAACATTGTTGTAAAATTCAAATATATGTCCATAATTACAAAGTAGCCTCATCTATTCATTAAGTCAGACCACAGAGAATTTTTACTTGAAAACACTGATAAGAACGACTCTAAGTTTGTAATTTTCATTAAATCAAACTGGAATTCTTCCGCTTAGCTTTCTAGTGAGGTTCTAGAGTACAGGAATTTCTTTTTTAAATTTCTTTAAAATAAACTCACCATCCACACTCTCCATTAACTACTGGAGTGTCATTGCTGAGGAACGAACACACAATGCCTGAGAAAGCTGGATTTTGCAGACTTGCTTTAACTAACACTGTTATAGTTTCAATCCACAAAATCTTGTCAGCTACTCTCCAAATTCCAGACACACCTCTGTTTCGTAAAACAGGCAAAGATGGGAGTTAAGAGTATAAAAGTCTTTAAGATCACCATTGTGTCCACCCCATTTGGTTGGCAGAATAAATCAGCATAAAATGCCAGCACTCAATAATCTAAATAAACTGTGGGCAAGGCTGGGCCTGGGTTGGCTGCAGATCAGTTTTCCAAATTAGTTCTGTTCATTCATTTTCCCTTTAAAGCTGCTTCTTTGCAGTTTTCAGAATAAGATGCCAAAGTAGACAGAAAAATTCAGAAGGTAATGAAGTGTGATAGTTTAGAAAAAAATCTGAATTGATCCTTCTGAAGAGTAAACATTTCATTGTGATGCTATCTTGAAACATGTAGTCACTCAAAAATAATTTAACTTCATTTATTAACTTTGGGAAAAAGGTAACTTTTATTTTCACAGTTCTAGATATTCTTAGAATTGCACGCTAGAGCTAGGGTACTAGAAGGAAATTTTGGTGGAATTAACTTAATTTTCATATGACAAACTCCCTATGGGCAGCTCTATAAATTGGTATAAAGGTATAATAAAGTGGAATTCATGTTAAAAGAAGTTTTGATATTGTCTCTGCCCAGTTGGGAAGTTAAAAGGAAATTAGGTTAGATGCGATTGATAATAGTTCTTCTTTCTGGGGGTGTTGGTGCACATGTCCACTACCCAAGTTCCAAAACATTTACTTGTTTGGTTGACAGTCTCTTCTCCTAAAATAACTGGGTGAGAGGAAGAGAGAGACTTTCTCCCCAATTTTTCCTTCATCCCAAGGTCTGAATCAGAGTTGACTTTTGTGAAGTGTTGATGCCCTGATGTTTGAATGGTGGAGGAGGTTCAAATTTAGTTGCATTTTATTTTTCACTTCAGCATAGAAATAAGGGGGGGGGTCTCAGAAGGTTGAGTACCACCTCCCTGTAAATGACAGTGTTTCAGGTCTGCAGAAAAGGCTGACTATGCTCCAATGTCTGGGCATATTTTAAAACTGTGGACTTTTTCTTTTTCTTCCCTCACTTTGGGTTTGGAGAAAAGTTAAGATTTTCCTGCCGAAATTTAAGATTGATGCTCACTAGCCCAATTTTCTTTTTTCTTTTAACTCGCGTGCAGACAATAAATACCTTTACCTAGCTTTAGCAAAGTTTTGAAAAATTGTTTCAGGTAAGAGGAGATTGAGAAATGCGAGCAGAAAGCAGCCTTAGACAACTGCAGTGACATTCTCTTCACTTTTTTCGTTCAAAATGTGGAAAATCGCTGTTTCTATAATCCTTTACAGAAGTTATTAACATTTTGCTGGGGCGTGTTGGATTCGGAGGTTGTCGTTGTCTCCCGAATTTGTGGGAAAATCAGAGTTCTTCTAGTTCCATGGCCAAAGTAAAATATAAATGTCAAAGTGAGCGGGGACAAGGGACAGGAGGTGGCTACTGGACGGTGAGCTAGACGTGCGACCCAGTTCTCCCCTCCCGCCCGTTTCTCCGCCCAGCGCTGCGGGTCACCTACCCAGTTGCGGAGCCTGGGCTGCGCTGCGAGGAGCGCGCACCTGCGGCAGAGGCTCCGCCTGGAGATGCCCCAACAGGAGGGGCCGAAGTAGAACCTCTGTGTCCAGGGGAGGACAGCGGGACCTGTGCAAAAGGGGGTACTGTGGCCCGCGGCGGCTGCACTGACCGGCCCTAGTCTGCCCTGGGCGCGCGGCAGCGTGGACACCTCTGGTCCTGCGGCCTCTTGAGACCGGGCCCAGACCTGCGCGGAGCGGCTCCGGAAACTGGAGCGCGCCGCGTGCCAACGGGCGAGACTGGCGAGCGAGACTGGGACCCACACGGCCACTCTGCCGCATTCATTGTGGGCAGGCATACTGTGGCTCTTCAGGTGACAGTTCTCCCTTTTGCCCCCAGAGGAAAGACAGATATCTGGTGGTTGGCCGCCGAAATTCCTGGGCGGTCGGGGCGCAGCAGGGGTGAGAGGGATGCTCTGCTCCACCTGTGTCCTCCGCGGGTCCGAGGCTGCTGAAGCCAGCAGAGCTCAGCCCCGCCTCTAAAGTAAGAGGCTCGGTAAAACCGGACGAAGGGGTGTCTTTTATCTTTACTTTAATTTTCTTTCGAACGGATACATCGTAGTTAACAAAAGAAACTCTCCAATCACTCAGGCGGGCTCGTCATTTATAAACCGAATTGAATACACGGAACCATCATCTCCATTTATAATTCTGGCAAAACGAAAAATTCCACCCCAAAACAATTTGCTTAAAATAGTCACGTTTTAGAGATGAAAATATCTACAAGTGTGCATCTGTTTGCAGTTGCACAGCCTGAGAATCGATGTCAGACTTTTTAAACTGGGGAATGAGTAGAGTTCCCTTTCGTCAGTAACCCACTTCCCTGGGTCTGAGCTCCAACGCTTCCAACCTCTGCCCTCCCCCCGCCCTCCCCCCCAACTCCGGCCCACCACCATACCCGAAACACCCTTCCACCACCTGACCAGTCATACAGGAGCCCCTCTCAACTCATTCCTAAACTTGTAAAACGGAGGTCTCCGCTGTGACACCCGGCCCCCGCCCAGGGCGCTGGGGTAGTGGTGCGTGGGGAGGAGGGAAAGCATCTAGTAGGAAACAGGTGAGGGCCAGGAACGCGCTCGGGGCAGGAAAGAGAATGGCCATGCGTGTCTCACAATTGTGCATCCTCCTTCGATTCTCGAAAATGAAACAGAAAACCGCAGCTGTTGTATGAAAAGGCTGAAGAGGCAGCGAAAGACCTGTCTGACCTCCTTGCAGTTACTAGGATGACACTTCTAACAGCTGACCAGTCCTTGTTTCAAAGTTACGGAAACTTTGCGGACGGCCGGTTGGAGCAGGCGCGGGTCGGGTTGGGGGCCGGGTGGGGCCTCGCGGACTCCTCGAAAGCAACTCGCACCGGGAGGAGCCAGAGGCGGGGCGTGAGCTGCTCGAACAGAGCAGATTCGGGTAGTGTCAAAGAGAAAGGGGCGAGATCTCCCCCAGAGGATTAGAAGGGACCCGCCCCCGAGGGTGGAGTTGAGGTGTGGACACCGGCTGCGGACGGATCCCGTCCGAGGAGGCAGAAGGAGGTGGGGCACGGCTGCGGTTACAGGCGCCGGTCACTGCCGTTTCCCCGCACAAGGAGCTCTTCCGTGCCTTGGAGGATTTCCTAGGCTCCTTAGACAGCCTGTCTGCAACGAGCGCATCTCCTAGGGGATTCCTGGGGATAGCCCGGTTTCTCCTGGCTGGTCAACCGGAGGCCGCCAGCAGAGACTCTGCCCCACTGCGCCATCCCCGGCGCGCACGCCCCTCTCCAGGGGGAGGCCAAAGCTGTCCCGCAAGGCCTTTCCCCACCAAACATCAACTTTCTCTTTCAAACTTTCTCTTTCTCCTTGTTTCCTTCTCCCCACTCTCTCAGTCCCTTGTTCTCTTGCTTTAGCCTGGGGGTATCCCTACGTCTCCAGGTGCGGAGCCTCAAGGCTCAATCCCTGTGCTGTGCAGTTCCCTGAACACTCGACCTCGGGGGAGCCCGGAGAAACACACCTGCATCTCCGCGGTTCCCTTCCTTTGCTCTCTATTGCACCCCGTCCCCGCCCCCCACTTCCCCTCCCCACCCCTCCCTTCTGCTGCCTCGGAGTGGCGTCAGCGCGCCCGCCCCGCGTGGGGTTTAAATGCCCACTAGCCGGAGCCCAGCGCTTCTGTCCCGGAGCGCGGTCGGGGCTGGAACTGCAGGGTGGGAGGGGAGCGTGCGAACGGGATCCCCGGCTGCGGAGCACGCTGCCCCTCTCCGTCGCTGATGACGCGCTAGTTGGGGTCCAAGCGCCGCCCATGCAGCATCCCTGCGCTCCCCCGACCTAGAGTTTATGATAAAACTCTAAACCGTCTCCGCCGAGGGGAGCCATGAGCTGTCTGGATGTTATGTACCAAGTCTATGGTCCTCACCAGCCGTATTTCGCAGCCGCCTACACTCCCTATCACCAGGTACGTGCCTTCTCCAGGCCAGGACCCTGGAGACGGGTGGCGCGCCTGGGCTTCTCAGAGGACGCCTGTGCCCCGCCGAGGTCCAGGGCCGCCGGGATGCCGGGATTGCCTGCTCTGCCACCCTGTAGATTGAGCTAACCACTTTAGTTTGCTCTCTCGGAAGGCTACTAAGCCCTGCTAATGCGTGTCCGGGTTTTGCTGGGAATAATGAGACGAGGATCGCGCCTGTTGGACTGTTTTCTTAGTGTCTGTCGGACTCCGGATATGTCGGAGCCTGAGCTCAGCGAGGGTGCAGGGAGATGGGAGCAAAGCTCATGCATGAAAACCAAACTCTGGTCCCAACAAAAGCAAAGGCCTCTTTCAGTTTGAGATGGAAAGACCCGCGTTCTCATCCCTGCAAACTTATCTATGGCAAAATTGTTTTCTGTTTCAATTCTCAGGCGGTCAGGACAATTAATATCAGAACCAGAGAATCCCCTACAAATAGAATCGCAGGAAGTGCATTGTTTTTTTTTAATTTTGGTTTCGCTCAGTTTGGGGGAGTATTGTGGACTGGGGTACAAGTGACTGGGCAGAGGCAAGCTTCAAAGATAATACTTACCTTTCAGGAGACAGAGTAGCTGAATAGGGCTGCGCTGCATCAACAAAACCACTTTCAATGAGACCACTAAACCCCGGTTCTGCAAATTCAGGTTTCGTGGAATTATTCCTATTTCTCTTTTCTCTGGGCTCTGTCTGGCGAACAGTTCTTTCTGTTTCCACAGCTAATGTAGTGAAAACTAAGGACGTAGTCCAGAAAAAAGAACGAAATTTCACTGGGGGCTTAGGAGGCTAGACCAGGTTGGAAAGTGAGGGCCTGCTTTGGGGAAATTGAAAGACACTCCAACTTCCGAGTCCATGCTTTCACCGACTTTGCCTGCAAATTCAAAATATCTATTTGGCCCCTCTCCTCCTCTTTTCACTTTCCAGCCAAGATTTTGTTTAGTGTCAATGTTAATTTTAGGAGTCACCAGTGTCCCTCACTGTAAGCCAAGTGGGAATAGGGTAGAAGCAGTAAATTTGCTAAATAACTCCTTTGGCTTCAGTGTCTGAGATGAACTCCTTCTCAGGCTGGGACTGCTGAAATGAGGAGAGGTGGGATTGCTTTCTATCAGTTTGGTCCTTTCTCCTCCCTGGTCCTGCACCCAATCTATTGCATTAAGATCTCTGTTCATTTTTGTATGGTCAGAACATCTCTGCCATAATGCGTTAACACTGCATTCAATCCTTTGCTCATTCTAAGAAATGTTTTCAGCAACTGCACTCGGCTTTTTAAAATCACTATCAGAAAGTCACCATTTACTGAGCCTCAGAGCCAAGATCTTCTGCTGCTCCTTTTTGTTACTTGTGTCCTCAATGTGCACAGAAATGGTGAGGGTGGAAATTCTCATAACTCACTAGTTTTTCTTTACTTAAAAGATCTCTCTAAAAACTGAGACAGACTCCTAAATGGACAGTGTATGGGCAACCAAACAAAATCCACTTGCCTTTATTAAAATGGTCCATGTCAGGATGTCACTCACCTTTTTACCCCACACAATTCTTTCCTAAGTGGAACTATTTCAAACCTTCCACGGCACTGCTTGGTATACAGCCTGGTTGTGTGGAGTGGGTTTCTATATTTTCATGTTCCATCATGAGGATGTGTAATCCTGCATCTTGTGCTTCTGCCATGGATTATCAGTCAGGGAACAGTCAGGCCCTAATTGGACTTGGGTGCCCTTTACCCATGGAGGTTGATTTATAAAAATACATACAGAAGTAGACAAAAGTTGATTTACGGTTATGAGTATGTGAAACACAGTTTATTCTTGTGTCATTACTCATTTATTATTTTTTGTTTTTTTTCTTTCTTTTTCTTATATTATTAGCTTATTTATTTGTATTATGTAAATCTACTTTTGCCCATCCTTGTATATCTATCTGCCCAGCTCTGGGTCTGCGGTGGAACTCAACCCATAACCTGGTTGCTTAGACATCTTCTGTGACCTTCACCCTGACACCTTCCAAGAGATTTGCCTGTGGCCTGGCAGCAATTCAGGGCTGACAGAGACATCAGAAAGGGCAATCTTCCCCTAAGTGACCACCCTTGTTCAGTGGCAGGTTATGCAGCCCACAATAATAAGTATTGGGCTTAGACACCAATATCAGTTATCTCCTGGATACCTCAGGGATCAGATGAGGAAGTGTAGCCTGAACCCAATTTGCCATCTCTTTTGCAATTGACTACTCTATTATTTTCTCTTTGAGCAGAAACTAGCTTATTACTCCAAGATGCAGGAAGCCCAAGAGTGCAACGCCAGCCCCAGTAACAGCAGTGGCAGCGGCAGCTCCTCTTTTTCCAGCCAAACTCCAGCCAGCATAAAAGAGGAAGAAGGCAGTCCGGAGAAAGAGCGCCCACCAGAGGCAGAGTACATCAACTCCCGCTGCGTCCTCTTCACCTATTTCCAGGGGGACATCAGCTCCGTGGTGGATGAGCACTTCAGCAGGGCCCTAAGCCAGCCTAGCAGCTATTCCCCAAGTTGTACAAGTAGCAAAGCACCGAGGAGCTCCGGGCCCTGGAGGGGTGAGTATGGAGTTCCACTGGCAAGGGCGGTTAGACATCCCTAGCAGCCTGGGGCCCACCTAAAGGGGCTAAAGGAGATGCAGCTAAAAGAATACTTACTATGGGTCAGAGAAGAAGTGAGGAGCGGCATTTGGGAATGGCATAAGGGGCATAAGAAAATCAAAGGCATAATAGGCACAGGCATAAGGTCTCTCCTTAGAGAGGTAGAGAACAGCAGAGCAGTGACCTAGAAAAAAACACAAGCCTTGGAATCGAGAGGCCTAGGTCAGCCTGTCGGCTTCCTAGCAATATGACCTTGGGCAAGTCTCTTAACCTCTTTGAGGTCACTCTATTTACCCGTCTCTAAAATTAGAACATAATACTTGGCCTCTTAACTATCCCTGGAGATGGTGGTAAGACAAACAGAAAAATGCATGTAAATGCACTGTAGAAATGCGAGGTTTCCAACACTCCCCTGGGCCAGGGTGTGGAGGAGGATCTTCACTACAGCAGCTCACAAGGCCCTTACGCAGTTCCTGCAGATTTGCCCAGAAAAGAAAGTCCTAGGCCCCACTGCCAGCACAACCTGGTGAAGAATGTCTCTGAAGACCCACCCTGTGCTTTCTTGAAGCAGAAAATGTCTTTCAAAAAGCAAGTAAAGTAACAAAGAAATAAGAATGTGGGTACAGCCAAAATGTCTCCTAGGGCTTTCCCCCAAACACATCCCTATCTATTGTTTTGCTCTTCCCAGCAAGCACTGCTTTATCTAGCCTGGGACAGTGATTTCTTGGACAAGTCAAGTAAACTTCCCTTCTATTCTGAAATCTCAACCTCCCTTTATGACCAAGACAAGGAGAGGATTAACTATTTGGTAAACTTTCTAATTAAGCTTAATTTTTGGTGTGTACCAAGCTTAGAAATGAGGGCCTTGTAAACAACAACAAAAAAAGGAAAACAAATATATTTTGGGGGAAATGACAACCCTTACCCTTCCTTTTTTTTTTTCATGAGTTTCAGTTTGTAAAAGCCTAGACAAACTCTCCCCCCCAAAAAAAATTAAATGCAGAACATTCTTTTTATTCTCCAGTTGCCTAAATATTTTAACAGGAAGACTGTTCATTGCTTAGAAGCAATTTTTAAAGTAATTTAAATTCTGTAGTATGTGTACAGATGCATTCCCCATACTGTTCAATAAAGACCTCTTAAATTAAATGTCTTTCTTGCTCTCCCTCCTTACTAAAGGCAACAAATTTGATCCAAATGCTGTTCTCTTCAAAATGCTTCCAGACTCTAGGGATCAACGGTGATACTGATGATGGTGGTGGTGGTGGTGTGGTGATGATGATGTTATCATTAGTGTGGCATCCACACTTTGATGCAGAAAAGTGCATGTCCCTTTGTGCAAAGATTACAGCTACCCTTTTAGTGTGTCTAGTTTCACTATTTTGCTGAAGTTCTTGAAAAAAATATTTGAAAGAAGGTTTCTAGAAAGGAGGCTAATAATAACATGACTTCGAAACATGTTGATGGACTTCTAGTCTATCAAAGACACATTTTTTAGAGCAAGGGAGGCTGAAACGCAAGAGGGGTTAGTGAGAATGCTAGGTGGTCTCCCAAGAGTGAGTGGGAAGTGGTGTCTTTAGCTTGAGAGGCTGCGGATTGGAAAGGTGAGGCCTTGTGTCTCCTGTAGCCTTGGTGGTAGCTCAGGTGGAGTCTGGTGAAACTCCCTGTGTCTCAAAACTGGGGCTTGGGGAGGAGGTCTCTCCGCTCTGCCTCTCCCTGCCATTTCCTGGGTTTGCTCACTGGACACATCTGCAAAATCCGAGGAAGCGATTTTGAACCTACACTCTAAAGGATTCCCGCATTTTGCGGTGCCCTTACCTTGAGTTCACAGGCTATAACCCCCTTAGAAAGGCATTTCCCCAAAGGTGGGGCTGCCAATTCGCCCCAGCCTCTGCTTGTCCGCCCTTGGACAGCCCTGCGCTTTCGGCTCTCCTAAAGTGGCCTTACGGGGTCCGCACTCGCTTCTCTTGGCGGTGACGAGCTCCTGTTTTCCTTTCCTCCCCTCTGGCTCTTCGACCTGCAGATGGCTCCTTCCCAATGAGCCAACGCAGCTTCCCTGCCTCCTTCTGGAATAGCGCGTACCAGGCGCCTGTGCCCGCGCCCCTGGGCAGCCCTTTGGCCGCCGCGCACTCGGAGCTGCCCTTCGCCACGGCCGACCCCTACTCGCCCGCCGCTCTGCACGGCCACCTGCACCAGAGCGCCGCGGAACCCTGGCACCACGCGCACCCGCACCACGCGCACCCGCACCCGCACCAGGCGCACCCGCATCCGCACCATCCCTACGCACTGGGCGGCGCCCTCGGCGCCCAGGCCACAGCCTACCCGCGGCCCACGGCAGTGCACGAGGTCTACGCGCCGCATTTCGATCCGCGCTACGGCCCGCTGTTGATGCCCTCTGCCTCTGGGCGCCCAGCCCGCCTCGCGCTCGCCCCGGCACCCGCGCCAGGCAGCCCCCCCTGCGAGCTCTCGGCCAAGGGTGAGCCAACCGGCACCGCGTGGGCCGCTCCCGGTGGACCCTTCGCTAGCCCCGCGGGAGACGTGGCCCAGGGTTTGGGCCTCAGCGTGGACTCAGGTAAGCCGGAAAGCGAGCTTGGCCGACCCAGGTCCCTCCTGCCCTGTGCTCCACCCTGGGCTGAGCCCTGGACCCACTTTAGTTCTCCTTGGAGACCCCAGTGACACTGTGGCCTGAAGGTCTGCATGGAGGGGGTTGTGTTGCAGGGGACAGATGACCTGGGCCATGGGTAGGAGAATGAGAAAGCAGAACCTTGCCCTACCCTAGCTGGTAAATATTACAGAGTATTTTTTTTTTAAATAAAATTTGTTGGAAAGGTTCTAGCTCCATGCTGTTCAGTTGTGTAGCCACTAGCTACCTGTATCTGTTGAGCACTTAAAATGTGTCTAGGCTGAACTGGAATGTGCTTTAAGTGTATAATACAAACTAGATTTCAAAACTTTGTGCCAAAAAGGAAAGTAAAATTTACTTCACATGTTTATATTGAGTCCATGTTGAATTATTTTAAACACGTTGCATATCGAATATATTAGGTTAAGTAAAATACATCACCAAGTTTTACTTGTTTCTTTTTGCTTCTCTTCAACATGGTAGAAAATGTAGAATTGTGCCTGTGGCTCCCGTGTGTTTCTATTGGACAGTGCTGGTCTAGAGTTCCTGCTGAGAGTGCAGTTTGAAGTCCTCTATGGCTTGGGGTGGGGGGTTGTCTTGTCACCTAGTGACAGTTATAAGGAAAGAAAAATATGACTCTGATATCCACATAATTGCCATATTACAGAGATCTCTTAAAACCATAAAACTTTCAAGAATGTGATTTAAAGAATAATATTGTCTCTTTTAAAGAGCTGAATTGGAAAGGCACATTCAAACAAGGGTTTACATTTTCTTTCTTTAGTTTTAAGGCAAATGAAAAGGAAAGTTATAAATACAATCATTGGCTTGTAGTTTTGCCCACTCCCCCTTCCTTCAGGTGAAGATTTGACATTCTGTTGGCTTTGATTTTACTTTCATTCATGCCCTTTGGATGAATTCTGTGACTTTCACAATAAAACAGTGGTGTTTGTCTTTCTTTCTCTTTCTTTAAATATTTTGTCCCTTCCCTCCTCCCACCCCCTCCTCTCCCCTATCTTTCTCTTCTCCCTCTCTCTCTCTTATTTTCTCTCTGCTTTGCAGGTTTGCAGCCTCAGGACAAAAGCAAGGATCTGTACTGGTTTTAGACAGCCCACCTTCTTCCCTGTAGGTCTCTGCCTAGCGCCCTTGCTGACACTCAGCTGAATGGAGTGGGTTTGTAATGGCTTCTGATCTTGGTTTGCAGCTCGCCGTTATTCCCTCTGTGGTGCATCCCTCCTGAGCTGACCTGCTGACCCAGGGTTCCCCTTCCCTTTCCCTTCCGACCAGCCAGAAGGCTCAGCATCTATGCCTCTCACTGCAAGGATGAGGACATGGGGAAAGGCAGAGACTTCGAACTTCTCCGTGTGCTGGGAAAACCAAAACATACATCTCAGAAATTTCATCTAACAATTATTCCTTCTCCCAAAAGAGCAGATCTGAAGACTCTTAATTATGTTTAATGACTTTTGGGCAAATCACTGGAAATATCTGTGGCAAGATCACTTAGGTGATATGATATACGTTTTCTTGGAAGGAGGGAAAGGAAACCAACAAGACTTTTGGTGTGAATATTTTTATGCTGATGTGAATTATTTCATTAAGTAGTGTGATCATAGCACTACTGATGTCAATATCCTCAGATTTCAAATGTACTTGTATTTGCATTGAAGACTGTGGTAGAGAAGTAAAAAGAAGCCAATCTTTCTTCCTCACCTCAGCAGCCTCCAGCTCCCTTCCTGCCCACTCCCTCCCTGCAACCCAGACTCCAGGCACAAAGACACACTTCTTCCTTTGGACTGTGAACATGGAAGCCTCAGCCTGAATGTGAGTGGCAAGTGGTTCATCTGGAGCCACCTGCCCAAGTCTTACTGAAATGCAGCTGTTGTAGGACAACTGTTTAAAACTCCAGAAATACATCGACCAAGGTGGCACTTCCCAGTGTTTGGCACAGCGATTGCAGTCGCACTGGATATATTTTATATGTGTGTGTATGTATATCATTTTTTACAAGGAACATTTTACCATGAAAGAAGAAACCCTTCTCTGCCTTCTCTCCCACAAATTCTGTCCCTCATTCTTTCCTCCCCTGGATGAATAAAGGCAAGAGACCCCAACTGTCTGTCTCCATGAAGGAGTAGGAATCACCACAAGGGAAAGGAATGCTCCATGGATTCTCCAATACCTCAAATATTTTTCTCTGTCTCTGTGGTCATGAGTGGGACATGTTAGTGTTGGGACAGGGGGACGGGTCTGTGTGTGGGCAAAGCTAAAGGTGATGAGGAAGAAGAAACATTAAAGATGTCTGTTTACTACAAGGTCGCTGTGTTGTTTCATAAAAAGAAAGTAAATGTCTTAGTTTTTCTCTAGTAGAATAAAGTAATTTATAATAGTGTGACCTGATGTCAGAAAGCAATATTCCTTTATGCAGTGTGTGTGTGTGTATATATATATATATGACTTTTCATTTTTCCAATGTATTTGCTGCACTGTGAAACCGGTTAACCCCTCTACTCTCACATCAAGCCTGGAAATTAGAAGTCAGGTATCTTTCTTTTATTTTACAAATGAGAAAATCAGTCATGGCCCACAGCAGCCCAGGGCTTACCTCTTAGCATTCATGGAGTCAGAAACAGAGATGGTGCAGAAAGTACTATTCCATACACCGTTCATTCAGATACCCATCTATACTTTTTTGGAAAAGAATTATTGTTGCTCTCTTAAGACAGCAGAGTTGTTGGTTTAAAAGTGTCTTTGAAATATTGGTTATTTTATATTTTAATAACTAGGCTAAGAAACCAAAGCTACCACAGGGCAAAAAAAAATATATTATGCAATTAATGGTTTTCTCATGATGTCAAAATTACTTGTGTATCTCTGAGATACTTTGTGTTATGCCCAAGTTGCCCTTGTAGATTGTTAAAGCATAAAAATATTAGTTCAAATTTTGACCTTCATTGTAACATGAGAGGCAATATAATTTATCTTCACTAATAGTCTCAAGATTTGGGGGCACTTAGGGAGCTTTACTCACTGCATGGCTTAACAAAGTTGCCTGTCCCCTCTTCCGATCATGTTGGTAAGCTGGGAAGTATATTATGATCATTAGAAGGACCCATTACTGTTTTTGCTCAGGTGGAAGGAACTACATGCTTATCCTGTACTAGCTGTGATAACAATAGCCATAGCTTATGTTTATTGTTTTTCATATACCAGGCATAGTCTGAGGGCTTTATATATAGGTCAACTCATTGAAGCCTCACAAAAATTCTGTGTGATATTTATTATTATGATCCCCTTTTTACTGATAAGAAAACTGAGGTTCACAGAGCAGAAATAATATGCCCAGTCACATAGTTTGTCAGTGGCAGAGCCCGGGTGTCAACCCAGGCAGCCGGGTGTGGAGACTGCATCATGAACCACTGCTGTGACTGCCTGTCCACTTCTGATTAACTTTGGGCTTAATTTCCCCTCCCAAGTAGATGATGAGGAAGAGAAGAGTCAGGGCAGCAAAGACTGGCCCACTGTAGAACTTACAGAACCCTACGTCTCAAAGGAGCTATCATAGGACATTGTCCAGACCCTCCAACAGATGCCACACTACCTATAGACCAGTCAGTCAGGTGCCGATTTCCATTCTCTCCAAGAGGAAGTTATAACTGCTTCTCTTAATTCACTGCAGTATTTAATTAGCCTTCACTGCTCTGAAGTTCTTCACACCCAACTGAACCAAGGCGTGTAAGAGTTGGCCAGAGGTTTGGACATTGAAGCAATAGCTAAAATTAACTTTGGACCTCTCTGTGGATTTTTTAAATCCATGTTCCATTGGCATGGATTGCTGCAATATACAAGCATGAATAAAATTCATTAAGTTCCAGTTTGCTTTTCAGAAGATGCCATTGAGTATGCAATGGAAACAGGGAGCACAGCAGTGCGTTCTCCCCTAGACATCTTCTCCAAGTAGTGCTCACTGAAAGGGACTCTCTACCTGTGCTCCGTCTTCTGTAGCTCTCACAAGCTCTCTGATCAGAACCCACCGGGAGCATTTTCCCAGCCGCAGGTACTGATTCCTGAAACCTCTCTCCTGAGCTGCATCTGGCCTGAATATCAGGTTGCCGGTGAGGAGACATTTGCTGGAACTGGCCTTTGGGGCAGCCCTGAACAGGCTCTCCAAACTGCTGAGCCCGGGCTCCAGCGACGGGGCGATAGGACACAGAGCAGAGCAGAGCATTTCCCTCTGTGTTATACATTCCTAAAGTAGAAATACAAGATGGCCTAAAACTATAATGATTCGTTGTAATAAGAGCCTCAAAGAGAGTGCTGGTGAGTTAATAGACCTCACTGACATTCTTTAGGCCCAACAAGTCATACAACATAATGAATTCCCATGCCTGTCTTGCTAATATTCGTGAAGCCATGCAGATTAGAGAAGGCCCTAGTAGTTGAAAAAAGGACATTCAAGGAAATGAGATGTGAGAAACGGCTGACGTGAGAAAAGGCAAACATGATGTTTTTACCTACATTGTGCCTGGTGAGGGGCTTGAGAGAGATCAGATCCTCCTCTGATCATCCCCATTGGGATCTTCGGTGTCCTCCTCATGCAGTTTTTCCTTTGCACTTGGCCTAGGCCCGCAGAGAAGGGGAGGTGATGAAAAGGGGAGAGACAGCTCTCCACCACCGAATAATCCTTTTGCCGATTGCCCTCTGGCTGAGAACTCAGTGGCCCAACTACAGGGAACTCTATCTGCTCTACTCCTTCAGTTGAAAAGGAGTTGCCATCCTGTCTCATTTCCCCTTTGAAGTTCTATTTCAATGGATGGCAAGTTGTAGCAATGACTTAGAAATCACTGGGCCTGGATGGAAGGGAGGGCTGGGGTGGTGGGTGGTGGAACTCAGACTCCCTGACTGGAAGCTTCTCTGGCCACTTTTTCTGGGTAAATGCTACATTTTCTCTGCCCCTTTTCATCAGAGGGAAATGATTCTTAAGGTGACCTTAACCACCAGATCACTTAGAATCACAAACCCTGCCTCTACGTAGAGGCATCTATCTATCTTCTAGCAAAATAAACTGAGAGCTCTTTTTTAAAAAAGCACTTAGTGATTGGTTACTTTGGAGAGAGAGTACATAAAAAAGAAAACTTAGACAAACTGCTTTCCTTTCCATATAAATGTCATTTCCATAAAATGCATTTTTAAATGTAATTCATTAGATGGCAAAGCCTGGAGGAAAATGGAAAGATGTTTGAAAGGACTTTTAAAATAAAACTGGAAAGCATATGATTCCCTTATAAAACTGCTATAATTCTGATTGATAATTTGCATGGAAATAATTCACATTTTGAATCATCAAAGACTTTGCCCTATATATTCCATTCTTCTTGCAAGATGTTTAGGGTTATTATAATTCACCATCTCTTACATATTCCTGAAATCTGGAGAAAAAGAATAACGTAAAGGCAGCATGGTTATTACTGTTGCTGTTTGTTCTTAACAGTTTTCATATTTACATAAGCAACAGGGTTGGACAAACATAAATTTCACATTTTCTCAACACCTGCTCTTTCTCATCTGCAATGGATGAATAAAACTCAAATAAGACAAGTACAATATCTGCACAATAAAATCTATTTACCTACAAATACCACACACACATCCACCCTGGTACAGGCCGAAGAAATGAGAGAACCGCGCCTCAGACAGGCACAGACACAAATGATTATTCTCACTTGACAGACCAACTGTACCGCTCTTTCCTTGTATTTCACTCCAGCCCCACAGGCTGGATCCGGGGAGAGACACTTGATAGCTGCTGTTTCCGTGGTTGAAATATTTGTGAAGTTAACGCATAATCTGAAAGCAGAAGCTAATAAATTATAGGGTGCTAATTGGAACTAGAGTGGAGCTGTCAATCATGTTATCCTAAACACACAGAGACCCTCATAACCTAAAAAGGCAAGGCAGCCTTCAGGAGCAAGCTCCCAGTTGTTTCAGCCTTGACCTCCACTGCAGCAGAAGCATCACGTCCAGACAGGGTGGCCACCGGCAGTCGGCAGGGGTGATTCTGCTAATCGAAGCTCACTTTAAGAAGACAGACAAATTCCCTTCTAAGAGGGACTAGTAAACAATTTTACTGAAGCATTAATGTTTAGAGAAGTATTTTGTTTGGAGAAATATATTGGGTTTATCAGAATAATTATTACTTTACTAAAACATTACCCTTTATTTGGAATTTTTCACTGTAAAAAATAAGTTAAACTCAATAAGGAAAAATATCTGAAGTTCTCCACAATATAGTGTCATGTCTAATGTATTTCTAAATCACAGTATTTCTATGAGTTGCCACTGTACTTGTATGAAACTAAGCTCCTGTAAAACCAAAACAAAATGTCCAAATTTCCTTTGCCTTATGGAATTTATTTATTTCCCCTAGAAAAGCAGCCACAGTGTATTTCCTATTTCCTTGTCTCGTTGTTCAAATCTCCTAGTGAGCTCTCATTCTGCTTTTCCACCGAGGTGTAAGCCAGTCAGAGTGGTGATGCTCAAACTCTCCTCCACTGCCACCATTATTTCCAGTTCCTAGCAAAACTGCATAAATGAATAAATACATAATAATCACAACAAAGGAGAAATTTAGGCTGAATAATTAAGCTAAATAATTAAAATTTTCTGATTTCTAATCAATAGTTGCATGACTCTAATCTAGTTACAAATTAGAAAATTTTACCAACATTTGCTTTAAAAGTACATACTTTAGTCTCTACAAGTATTTACAACTACTAAAGTATTCAGTTAATTTTATAATTTGGAACTTTCAAATAGAAGTAGTTTTCACTTAGGAAAAGCAAATCAAGTATCTTAAAAATTTTACACACACTCTTGCTCAAAACAGCAATTGTAATTGATGGGAATGTCATGAGCTTATTTATTTTCTAGCTAATTCTCGTTACTACAGCCTTGCCCTTATTTTTGGCAACTATGTTATTGGCCCTGCGCCAATAATGATATTATTGAGAAATGGGAAGGAAAACAAACAAAAAATATTTTTTGTTATTTCTGTTTATTTTTACTAGCTACAATCTTATTTCTTTTATCTTCTTCTAGCCCAATTTACTCAACGTGTAATCTGTCCCATGAAACAATTGGATATTTTTTCCTCTAGTATCATATGACCTTTTTAATTGTACCTACTTCTATGTAGAATTTTGTGATGTCTCTGTAAGCACTACCTAAAAGTTTTGTGTTATTAGTATTACTCCACCTTGCTTTGTGGAGTGTGAAATCTCCTCTCAGGCAATTTCTCCTCCAAACTTAGAAGTCAAGAGAAGGGCACTGACAGA